CCTTCTCCTTCTCCTTCTCCTTCTCCTTCTCCTTCTCCTTCTCCTCCTCCTCCTCCTCTCCTTCTCTGGAATCCTTGGGGTTCTCTGAGCTTGGTTGTTTTCTTGCAAACATTTCATTGCCTGGTTAGGTAACATCTTCAGTGTTCAGCACTACCTAGCTGGGTAACAAAACATTTGCTAGAAAACACCCAAGCTCAGAGAACACCAAGGACTCCACAGTTCAACCCTGAGCCACATCTATTCTCTTCTATTGGCACTTCCTGCTCCTCCTCCTCCTCAGCATTTTCCCACAGATGTAGGATCCACTTTTTGGATCCGGGTCCAACTGGGTGATCTTCATGTCCATGTCAATTGTGGCCTGCTACCTTTGCTTTGGTCTTCCGCTCAGGTGTTTGCCATCAGTGTTAAAGTGATAGGCAGTACAGGCAATGGTGTGGGGTGCTGTTCGTAGGATGTAGCCATACCACTGTAGGTGTCTTTCCCACATTTTCTCTCTTATTGGTGCAATGCCCATCTGCTGCCAGACTATATCATTGCTGACGTGGTTGAGAAGGGAGATACCTAATGACCAATGGATCATACGCATGTTCAGCACTATTGGTGGTTGGCCAGCAATCAGCACCATCCAGGAAAGTTAAATCCATCACTTGCAGGACTACAAAGGCAATCAGAAACTGCACTCTGAGGTAGAGCATTAGGAAATTAGTTTTCTTGTTAAGATACCAGAAGACTCTGAGGTGGCCACAAATGAGCCTAGAATTCATTAGGATAACAACAATTCAGGGACTAAAAAGGGCCAAAGAGGATGGGGAAAAGATCAAGATGATAATTACTGGATAGAGAAAAGGGCAGAAGGCATAACTGTATGTTTTCTTTTCTTTTTCTCTCATTCCTTTCTGAATTCTTTTTTCCTTGCTTTCTATCTTCTGCTTGTTCATTTTTACCGTGTTGAAAAATTCTAATAAAAATATGTATAAGAAGATAGGAACAATTCATGGGGCTTTCCCAGTACAGTTGATCTGAGCCCCATTGATCTGTTAAGAGGGCTGATGAAGAACCAAATCAAAGAGAAGAAACTCCTCTTTCCAATACGCACCTTCCGGTTCATTGCAATGGCATTCTCAGAGCCTGAGAAAGAGGGTGGCCGTTTGCCAAACAGCGCAAGTCTGGAAGATCTCCACATTCCTCCTTGATCATGAAAAGAGGTAGGCAACTCCCCACTGCACCAAGTGGGCAGCAAGAGGGTCAAGGAATCCCTGTCCTAACTAACTGAGGGATGAAGGGAGTGCAAAGATAAACATGTCCAGTTGCCAATGTTCCTACAGCCCAGCCCCCCTCTTTTTTTTCTCTGTCAATAATTCTGGTTAGAACGGCACCTACTGCTTGGCCCGTCACCAATACAGCCCTCTCACCACTTCCTAAGTGCAGAAACAGATGATGTTGTCCTCCTACTCCTACTCTCAGCCTTTTGCAAATACACCCCACACCAATTTCTTACCAGCTTCAATTCAAAAAGGGTAATTACTGTTTTCTGATCTGAGTCATCTTAAGCCCTTCACAGGGGTGGAGGGTGTCCGGAGCTCTGCTCTGTTTGAGCTGCAGCTCTACTCCAACTGGCTGCAGTGCCTGGTAGATCTTTCCATCCGGGGCTGTTTGGCTGCTATGTTCCCTGTTGACTGGCAATATTTTCCTTTCAATAATCTTGCAGTTGACCCAATGGTGGCCTGTTAAGTCAATGAACCATCCTCAACACTAGAAGCTTATCACTCCATTCAGTCCTGACATCTCCCAGTGTGGGCACCCTTTGGGTTTCTGCCCAGGCTGGGTGAAGCATGTGCCCCTTGCTTTCCCACACCCTACCCACAGTCCTGCGAAGCTTCACTTCCTTTCTTTTGTTTTTGAAAACATCGTCAAGTGACCACGTAGGATCACAGTCACTTTGTTTCTATGAAGCTGAACTATCCAGTTCTTCCTCGCATCACATTTCAATGGACCTATGAAGGAAATCGGGAGGAAAGCTATGGCAAACCTAGATAGCATATTAAAAAGCAGAGATGTCACCTTGCCGAC